AGTTTGCAGCCTAGGAAACCTTATGAAGCAATTCTGCTCTGTCCTATAGGATCCCTGAGTTGAAATCAACTCAATATCAATGGATTGGTTTTGGTTTTTTTTTGTACTTCTGCATAGTGCCTGTGGGATTTGACTGCTAACCAGAAGGCTGGCGGTTCAAACCCACCAACCACTCCTCGGAAGGAAGGTTGGGCAATCTACTTCCGTAGAGATACCACCTCAGAAACCCAAGGAGGGGTCGCTATGAGTCAGAGCTGACTCAGAGGGAGTGAGTTTGGTTTTTTGGTTTTGGTCTTTTAAAATGTTAAAATCTTTTTTAAAAAATGCCATCTTAACTCTTTCTCTTAATAATTGTGTGATCCCTTGTGATGAAGCCTGAGGTGTGCCAGTTAGCATATGTTTTGAAGGAAGATATTGTACTCTGAAGAGAGACCCTTGACCACATTCAGATTTCTCTCAACTTAGCCACATGAGTCAGCCCCAGCCTCTCCACCTCGAAGGCCTCCACTTCTTTCTGCCTCCTATATCTGTCCTTGTTATTTCTGTGATCCAGCACTACAACCACTTTGGTCAGGATCCTCAGTTTCTTTGACTGGTTACACTTCATTTGTGCCAGTCCTGGTTGTTAACTGGTGGAGAAAAACTATGCAGTTTGACAGTTGCAAAAACCAATTGCCGTGGAGTCACTTCCAACTCATGGCAACCCCATGTATGTCAGAGTAGAATTATGCCCCATCAGTGACTGATTTTGGGGAAGAAGATTGGCAGGCCTTTTCTCCAAGGCAACTCTGGGTGGACTTGAGCCTCCAGGCTTTCAATTAGCAGCAGAGCACATTAACTGTGTACACCACCTAGGGACTCCTGTCCTGTATGTAAAAACCCAAAACTAAACCTGTTGTTGTCAAGTTGATTCTGACTCATTATTTTTCTGACCCTGTAGCATAGAATGGGAGCTCTGGTGATAGAGTGTCTAAGGCATTTGACTGCTAACCAGAAGGCTGCTAACCAGGTGCTCCTCAGAAGGAAGGTTGAGCAATCTACTTCTGTAGTGATACAGCTTTGGAAACTCAAGGAGGGGTCGCTATGAGTCAGATCCGACTCAACAGCAGTGATTTTGGTTTTTGGTTTGGTAGGATAGAATAGAACTGCTCCATAGGTTTTCCAAGGCTGTAAATCTTTAAGGAAGCAGATTACCACATCTTTTTCCCATGGAGTGGCTGGTGGGTTCAAAGTGCTGACCTTTCAGTTAGCAGCCAAGTGCTTAAGCACTGCATCACCAGGTCTCCTTTCCTACAGTTAGTGCTCCTATGCATTTGTGGTTTCCAGTCTCAATCTGTTAAAAACAGTGCAACAACCCTCTATTTTCCCCTAGTGAGTTACCTCTCTCTTCAAATACAAGTAGTATTTCAGATATCCCCCTATCTGTAAACTTTTTAGGCTGTCACCTCTCCTCTTTAGCATCAAGTGTCTGTGTTTCCTACTTCACAGAAGAAACACAAATTCCATAAGCTTTGCAACCTGAGGAGCTCTGGTGTCATAGTGCCTTAGGTTCAAACCCACCAGCCAGTCCTCGGAAGGAAGGTTGGGCAGTCTACTTCTGTAGTGATTCCTCCTTGGAAACCCAACGAGGGGTCGCTGAGTCAGATCTGACTCGATGACAGTGAGTTTGGTTTTGTTTTGGTTTATTTGCAACTAAGCTTCTAAACTTCATCCTACTCTTTTTGCTAAAGCTAACTGACTGCTTTTACTGGGGATTCCAGCCCTTCGTAACTCCTTAGAGGTAGTCAGAGAGGGTATGCTTGTTCCATAGATTATTCCTGCTATCGCCTGTATCTCCTCATTTTTCCTCATTCTTATATCCCCCAGAGTAAGTATAATGGCCGACAATACCTATACCATCTAGATCTTTGTTACCTTTCTGTTCTCTGTGTGTTATACAAATATTTGTTTGATGGGTAGCAGAGGAAAGCTATTTGGGTAAAATCTTGAGAGAACAACATGGGCTAAAGAGAGTTAAGAGAGTTTCAAGAATAAGGATTAAAGTACTGATGGAACAAACTTGAAAACAGCCTTAGTTTCCCTTTCTGTAGCCTTCTGGCCAGGTTTTGGGTGAGTGGGGCACATACATCACTTCTACCAAAGCACGTGAAGATTCCACCTGTTGTTGCCATCGAGTTGGTTCCAACTCATGACAATTCTATGTGTTACAGAGTCAAACTATTCCATAGGGATTTCTTGACTGTAATCTTAAGGGAAGTAGGTCACTAAGCATTTTTTCTCTGCGGCACTGCTGGGTGGGTTTGAACCACTAGCCTTTAGGTTAGCAGTTGAGTGCAAACAATTTGCACCACCTGGAGATCTTTTCAAATATTAGTCACACTATACCATTGTGAGGGAGCTCTGGTAGCATAGTGGCTAAGACACTTGCCTGCTAACCAGACGGCTGGCGGTTCAAACCC